ACACACACATGCAACATATTTGCTATAAGCAGAAACACAACAGAATCTCTCTCAAGCATTTTCAGAAGCAAATAAGCTCAGGATTATTCCTCTGATACAATATTCCATCTAGCGAACAAATAATTTAAATTTTCATTCACCACAGGCTCTTTATTTACCTGAGAGAAACTGCATGTGGCCCATACATCTCTCTCACTGCCGACAAGTCAGCTTCCAGCTGCGGATGCTTGTGCAGTTCCCCATCATAGTTCACCTGGTGAGACGGGGTGGTTCAGCAAAGGAGTAAAAGGACCAAGAGAGCACCCTTGTGGGTTCTGCTACGGGTACATATTCGGTTGATATAGTATACAATGAAAGTAAAAAGGTAACAGAAGTATATTCACTGGTTTTTGGATTCACATATATCCAGGAGAATTCATGATATTTAAAACGTAAATTAAATATATTCTAGTGCAAAGAAAGCAAAGACGTCAAAACAAAAGTTTCTGGCAAAAACTCTGGAAAACATCTAGGCTGAATATATAGATTTAAAGGAAAGCATTTACTTCTCCCCTATGAGAATTACCTGTGTAAAACATGAGCCATCTCAATTACCTATTTCCCTCAAGAAGAAAAATGGAAAGCTGTTTTACATAAGTGTTAGAAGTGTTATATTGTTGAAAGAGCCATTTTACTAGGAAGAATATCTTGCTGTTTTTTAAATCAACTCTGATTCACAGCCACCCGACAGGCTGGAGGGGAACTGCACAGTAGACTGCAATCTTTTACAGAGGAAACGGTCACAAGACTCTCATACAGAGAGGCTAGTGGGTTCGAACTCTTTAACTTACAATGAGTAGCTCAGTGCTTATCCACTGAGCAAAGGAGATTGCTCATCCATTATCTGTACTGACCGAAATTTCCTTGACTGACAACTTACTAAGCTTTGACTGTCAATGAATAAACTCATTTGCATTCTCTGATCTAACAACTTTGACATTAATGCCTCTTTTCATCATATTACCCTCCCATTATACTATGTAAATTATAAAACCCATTTGATCAAGAGGTTTATAGAAATAGAATAAGGCAAATTATGGTGTCATACAGTAAAATTAATTGCTCAATTTTAAATTCGAAAATTACTTTTAAAATTCTGATGGAGATATACATAACACACACATGTACATACAAGCTTCAAAACACTCATGGAACATTTCTTTTATATTTTCATTCCATTTTTCCTATGAACTTTTTGAAGTTCCCTTGAATATACACACACACACATGAATACACATAAGCTATTTTCATGTGTGACTATAACAAAAATGTTCAATAAAATTTTATATTAACATATGAGTAGAGGGAAACAATAAATGAGTATACGCAATAATTAGAAACTCATTATCTAATAATAGTTCATTGTCTTCTATTTCTTTGTGTCTTCATTGCAAAATACTAAGGACAATATACTTAAGAAATATAAAAGTTAAAATGATCCAAGATTTGGCTGCTTGCAGCATTTCTATGACGAATTGGGTCAACATCAATAGAATGAATGCATACAGTTAACCAAGGAACTAATTTCTGAAAATATGAGAAACAAATACATTAGATGTAGGTCTATAATTTCTGGTAACAGAACCACGACCAACACATAGACTTCCTAACGCAAGGGCACAGCTTTTCGCTGAGACATATTTGACTATGACTAACCTTGATGGTCAATAAGGAAAGTCAGGTTTACGTACCTGTCCTCCATAATAAAATTCTTCAGAATCATTATCACCTTCAGAATCTTCTTCCACTGTGCTATTTTGTCTTGACTCCTTAAAACAATGTAGTGAAAAGATTATCTTAATGCTCAAACTAGCATGCGTCCTTTTGAAAGAAAGTGGTAAATTGTTTTGACAGGTATGCCTTATGCAGAAGGTATGGGTTTATAATAAAAATGATAATGGTATAATATAATCAAAAAAAGCCATAAAAAGCAAACAGTTTTGTGGGAACATTCAGCTCTATGTATATCTTTTTTATAGTTCAATTCCACTGACCTTTGAGTAAGTCGGGCAATTTAATATTTGA